ACAGTAGATTTCTCAGACGGTTTGGAGAATCACAAGAGGCAACCACTAAAACTAAAAAATAAACAATTTAAATATTTTGTCTCTTTAGCAGCACTGCATTAGAAACACCATCAATTGTAAAATACAATTATTCCTGTTTTGACCATAAGGTGGCGCTGTAGCTGCAGAGTGAGACTTTTCTGTTTTTCCACAGGTCTGTTTGCAGACAGCAGTTTAGAAGTTCTGCAGAGAGAGCTGGCCTGGGAGTGTGACTATAAGAGAGAAGCAGAGTGTGCCAAGAAGTTCAGGTAGCTTTATTTGACGTATTCAGCCACTCTGAGGTTTGTTAGGGCAGCATTTACCAGCACTGAAGATAAAGCAAATAAACCACCAGCCACCATAATAAAATCTGCTTCTGTGGCAGGAGTAAGAGAAACAGGAAAACCCAGCCTGTTTATTTTTATCCTTTTGTTCCAAAAATAATTGTCAAGCAGGAAATCTCAGGAATGAGACGAATTCAAAGTGGCTAAATTTTTGTCCACTAAGACGGTGTTAACAGACTTGTGCTCTAAAACCATTCTGTTGTAACCAATGAAGAGTTACTACAAAATCCTGTCAATAAATCCATTAGCATAAAGGAATTTTCTTTTTCTGTTGATTTCCTGACCTCCTGTGTCTCATGTCCAGGTCCCTGCTGGAGGGAGATGAGTTTTTCAGAGTCCCAGAGGTGATCGATGAGCTGTCGGGTCACAGGGTGCTGGCCATGGAACTGGTGCATGGAGTCCCTCTGGACCGCTGCGAGGACCTGGACCAGGAAACAAGAAACCAGGTACAAGTTGGACTCAGCGAGCTCAGGGATAATTTGTACTGAAATTGTGCTTTACATCTTTCTTTCTGGAGGTGGTAGAAGGTCAGGATCTAGGCCACTAAGTGGTTTATAAGTCAATAATAAAAATGTAATATTAATCCTGAAACAAACAGAGGTACAGACGTGTTCACACGTTCCTGCTCGTGTTAAATGAGCTGCACCATCTTGGACCACCTGAGAGACAGACCTCCCTGACATAACAAACTGCCTCCAACATACTGAGTGAGAATATAAGTGTTGTATATAGTGTGGGAGATGCATAATAGAAAGCAACTGATGAGTGGGAATGAGTGAGAAAAGCATTTTAAAGCACTTAGCAGAACCTGAAGAGGTAAAAAAAAAAAGGCAATATAAAGCCCCTTCTCCACAGGCGTGGCTTTAAAAGCACTTCTCATCGATTCAGCCTCAGTCGAATGTGTCTCCACTTCCTGTTCCTGTGTGGTCTTTGGATCCACCCCAGCAGTGGTTCCAGGTTGTTTATTTATTCTGTCTGTCATCGTTTCTAAATGGAAATACAGAATGGTATAAAATAGAAGTAAATGTGTTCTATATTTATAATAACAACTCTACTAACTGTAGCACGGTGGTAGGGCTGCCATGATTAATCGACTAGTCAACAACTAATTTAATAATTGGTTAGTCTTTTTTTTGTTTGTTTTTTACTTTGTTTTTCTCTCCAAACTGCTTTGACACCTTCCACTGCCACATCTGCCTTTCTGTCCTTGACACACATGCTCTGTAGTGGTAACTGGGGTAGGCCGTGGACGTCACAAGACATTATACAGACAGGCTCTGGTATCATGGCTACCCAGCAATGGAGCTCAAAAATGTGGGATCATTTTAAGAAAATGAAAGAGAAACCTGTGCAATATCTGCAGAGCAGAACTTGCCTTCCACAGAAATTATTTTAGTTAGCATATAGCTAAAATCTAACGATGGTTATATAATAATGCATTCTGGAGCGATAAGCTCTATGTTTTATATTCAATTAACGTATGATCTGATTAGTCGACTAATCGAAAAAAATATGTGATTAATCGACTATAAAAATAATGGTTTGTGACAGTTCTACACTGTGGCACAATTAGAGCTGCTGCCTTTCAGTGTGAATGTTGCAGGTTTGCTTCTATCTGGGGTGCATGTTCTCTCTGTGCATGTGTGGGTTTTCTCCCAGTACTCCAGTTCCCTCCCACAGACTGAAAACAGGTTAGGCTGATTTAACTCTAAATCAGGGGTTCTTCACCTTTTTGACCTTGGGGCCTAATTTGTTCAACATAAAGTGACACGAGGACCAGTCAGACATTACCATAAGGATCAAAATGATAATTATTCTAAATCTTGGTTTAATTTGTATTGTATATGCATTATAACTAAATTAAATACACTTACAGTTTAAAAGTGAAACTCCTGTCAAACAATCACAAGACATGATTATGATAAACATTTTTTATATTGTAACCTGTCCATAACAATTAGTTGAACAAATACAACAGTCAGTCAACAGACCACTCAGGCTTATCAACACAAATATAAACCATCCATCCATCCATCCATCCATCCATCCATCCATCCATCCATCCATCCATCCATCCATCCATCCATCCATTTTCTGTACACGCTTCTTCTTTTCAGGGTCATGGGGGTCACTGGTGCCCATACCCAGCAGTCACAGTGTGAGGGGCGGGGTACACACTGGATAGGTCTCAAGTCCATCACAGACAAAAATAAAAATTTTTAACATAAACAACAACCAAAATAAACAATTCATTAAATAAAGTTGTGATCATAAAATAAATGCATTCAAAAATATTTAATGTAAATGTTCCAAATTAAATAAAACTGTAAAAATAAATTTGATAAAGTGCAAATTAAAATCAACTGTATTGTTGATAATGTTTTGAACTTTTAAAACATTGCATGGTAGAACCAGAAGCTGCTCTTAATATTAATGACAAACTTTGGCATTCTTTAAAGGGTTACCTTCATTTTTGCTTCTACTTTTCATTTAAAATAAGTTTCCATCCTCGGCAGGTTTTTAAGGTTCTTCTTCTACGTATTAACAAAAGTTGCAAAACATCTGAGTGGTGAACTACCACTACTAGTGGTGAGAAAGTGTATTGCACCTTATTCAAAATCAATGCAGTCCCGCGGCCCAAAGTTAAAAACTGTTGTTCTTTTGAGGCCCTCGAGGTGGCGCTTTTGGCCCACAGGTTAAGAATCTCTGCTCCAAATTGCCCCTTGGTGTGAATGGTTTTGTCTTTATGTGGTCCTGTGATGGACTTCTGACCTGTCCAGGGTGTGCCCCGCCCCTCGCACAGTGACTGCTGGATATGGGCACCAGTGACCCCCATGACCCAGAAGTGGGTAAAAAAAATGGGGAATTTGCTAATATATTCATATATTTCAATGTAATTTATATTAATGTCGCCAGGGAAATATTGTTGTGTTTGAAAACTTAAAAATCTGATATATTTGCTGTGCAAATATATGCAAAGAGATATGCATCTTTAAAGGAGATAACAAGAAATTAAACACCAACAATATATGCATTTGTCAGTAGCTGTTCTGACCTCTTTGTACAATAAAAACTTAATAAATATCTGTTTATTCCTTCTGCGCATTGTCTATTTTTAAACTTTTACACTTTAACTTCATCCAGTTTTATAAAGGTTTCAGTTGTTCAGCTCTACGTGAGTTCAGTCCAATGTCTTTAGAGCTGGTTTGTAGCTTTATTTCACTGTGATAGGAACAACCAGAGATCTGATTGAGTCCTTTTGAAAACTGGTGACTTTAGTGTCTGCTTCTGTGTAGCAGGACCCTCTGTAGCACTTAAAGTGGTCTCAGTTCTTCAGTAAAGGTGCTGAGCATGTGGACAGGTCACATAAACCCACAGTTCACATCACCTTCTAATAGAAAACACTTAACTCTCTCGCCTTTTTCCTGAATAAAATGAATAAAGTTTCCTATTTATGTCTCAGATATGTTCTACTTATCCAGTTTTAGCTACACTGAAGGCTTGTGGGGAAGTGGTTGACCTAAGCTTCAGAGTGTGACTAAACAGCAGTTTAAATGAGATTTTTATAGCCTCTAGTTGCTTCTCTGTGCTGCAGATCTGCTCCAACATCCTGCAGCTGTGCCTGAGGGAGCTGTTTGAGTTCAGGTTCATGCAGACCGATCCCAACTGGGCCAACTTCTTTTACAACTCCGACACAAACAAGGTGAGAGGCAGCTACGTCTGTCGGTCTAACACATAAAGCTTTGTCATATCTCAGTTCCTTTAAGCCTTTTTCTCTGCGTTCAGGTTTTTCTCTTAGACTTTGGAGCATGCAGATCCTATCCTGAAACATTCACCGATGACTACATACAGGTAGGCTGGCTCTCAAGATTTCTCCTGCTGTGAACCCGGCTGCATGATTTCTGCTGCAAGATGTCTGTAAATATTTCAACACTAGTTTTGGGTAAAGTTTGAAGCCGTGTCATGCTTGCAGACACGTTGCAGCTTTTCTGAGCTCTTTAAATAAACATGATCTCTGTTGGATGGTTCAGGTGGTGTATGCAGCGTCTGTTGGGGATCGAGACACTGTCCTCTCTAAATCAAAGGACATGAAGTTCCTCACAGGCTTCGAGACAAAGGTGGGGTGTTTTCAGTAACATCTGGTATTCTCATTCATTTTTAACATAGTTTATGCTTCTGTTTACTCTGTTTACATCGCTAAACAAATTAACAAAACAATTTTTAAAGGTTTCAAATATGTTAAACTTTAAACTGAGTCTGAACTTCTCTTAAAGGGATCCCAGATTACTTGTAACATTAAACATTATTTGATAAACATTTACTAAAAAACTGTAAACATACTGTAGGCAGTTTAGTTTTAATAAATAAAAAACATATATTGTCACAGGGATGGAGCCATTTTAATAACGAAGCAAAGTATACCAGGTAAATGATGACATCACTAGGTTCCCAGTGCAAGGCTGTGTGAGCTCTTATCCAGGCTGAAGGTTAATCTTGGACAATATCTGATGATCAACCTTTTTAAATGAAACCAGAGCTCCTTGAGAGTGCAGAAACGACTCAGCCTGTAACTGAAAATGCAGATGGAAAACAACAGAGCTGCTTCATGGAAGAAGAACCCCAGCTTAGCCTGTTAGCTTTAGTGTTAGCACCGAGCTAATAAACACTGAATAAAAATCTAAACGCAGCACTTTTGTTTTTGCTCCCATTTTTTCATGAGCTGAACTCAAAGATCTAAGACTTGTTCTGTGTACACAACAGACTTTCTTTCAGAAATCTGTGTTTGGGGTGGGGGGGTGG